CGATGACTAGCTCATCCATGGTTGCTTTGAGTGCTCTTGCACTCTTCCACTGTTTCGTATGGATTGTTTGCAATTTGTCAGCTGCCCTAAGACCTCTAGTGACATCTGCAAATCGCTTGCGGAGGGCGGCCAAAAACTTGCTTAAGTGAGTAATGGAGGAGTATGTGACCATGTCATTGTCACAATTGGCGGCTCGTGCAAGCGACCTAGCAAAGCTAGCCGCTTCATCCTTCAGTGCCTTAAAAGCCACTAGAACATGGTTATCAGGCATGATGTCGTGTAGATGCATGTAGGACTTGATATTGGCTTCCCAATTATGGAGGTCCTCTCCCTTCTTCCCATCACAAGGTTCAGGGAATTTCGCCATCCTTTAGTGCCTTGAAAACCACGAGAATATGGTTATCAGGCATGATGTCGTGTAGATGTATGTAGGACTTGATATTGGCTTCCCAATTATAGAAGTCCTCTCCCTTCTTCCCATCACAGGGTTCAGGGAATTTGGCCTTAATACGCTCGCGACGTGGCCGTGCTTCCTCTTCTTTTGGGGCCGCTAGCTTGGCGCCTTCTGTGGTGTCCATGCATAATCTCTTTGTGCTGTCTAAATCATCGCGCATTTTTGTGCCCACACGTGTCATCATATCTCGTGCAAAATCCTTGAAACCTATGCTCATGGACTGCAAAGCGATATCATGGCGTCTCAAATAGTGCAATTGTTCTTGTTGGACCCTCATCATGACATCTACGGTCTAGGATAGCCTTTCTATTTTCCTCTGTAGGTCTGGCTGTGCTCCCAGTTGCCCTTGCTGCTCTTCGGCTGCCTTCAACTCTCCCCCCATCTTTTCCGCCGCCTCCAGTCTTCTTATCCTCTCTCTTGCGAGACACAACTTCCATTCGAACAACTTTTCATCTTCCTTGGCTTGTCGGCGCAAGGGATCCGTCTCGCTTCTCAACTCCTGATCCACTGCTTCCCTTTCTGCCTGGGGAACAAGCAACATAGCTTCCTCTTCTTCCCCCATGGTCGAATTGGCCACACACTCAGTCACCATCTTTTCCTTTTTTGCCTCTCTCTCTCGTGCCTCACTAGATTCCGCCCTCTTCAACTCTAACATTCCTCTGTAGGGGAACCTCCTCCTCTTCTTCTTCTTCCTTTGCTTTTGCGTCTGCCTCTACTGCCGCCAACTTCTCTTGTTCTTTCTTCCATTTTTCCAATTCCTCCTCCATCTGTTTCTGCTTTGCTTCTTGCTCTTCTAGCAGGGCTAACATCTTTGCCTGGTTGATCAATTCCCTCTTCGCCTTTTTTTGTCTCTTTCAAAATGGCGACGACTTTCTCTTCTTGAGCCTTACTATAAGGGGTGGAGCTAGTTCCTGTCCTAGTGGTCACCATGGTGATAGATGCACAACCAAGTGAGAGTTCCACTCCTCACCACTTAGACTTTCCACCCAATAATTAACTGACCGACTGACTGACTCTCTAAAGGACCACGGAGTCTTCTCCTTCGATCCAGCCAAATTACCACAGCCGTAGGAAGCTTTCGCCACCACGCTCACCGAAACTTTCCACATCCCAGTGCACCTTGCACCAGCGATCAATCCCACCTAGCTTTCACGATTAGACCTTGTCAACTAGGGTCTCTAGCCTGACCTATTTCTAAGGCTGTCACTACAGGACTCTACTGCTGATCAGGAGGCATTTAAGGAGATCCCCCATAACTCCTCAGGAATTCTTTAACGTCGCAATCCGGATGACGTGATCAGCAGAGTCCTCTCAACACTTAGACAGCTGGATGTGCAGCCCACAGCTCGGATTGCAGCCCTACCAAGCCACACTGAGCAGCCCGTCGGTGTGTGCCGGTCCTTGGGGGTCTTGTCCCCGGGACGTGTCAGTTGTTAGACATGGCCTTTCGCCCTACTCAGCCCGTGCAAGTTGGTCACCACAACTCTACGACCACATGCACAAAGTCCTATCAACGTGGAGAGAAGTGACTCAATGCAAAAAGAAGAGACAGATTGACTCAGCAAGTACCAAGGGTAGGTGCACATCCACAGGGTGAGGGGGTAGGCTTAAGGCTGGGCGAGACTATACCGACTCCAACTTGGTCAAATCTTGGTCAACGCCCTCAGCCAACGCTGGTCAAACTTGATCAACACCTGGTCAGACTTCGAACTCTTTGACCTTCGACTATGGCTGCCGACCTTTTTCTCTTGTCAAACCCTCTCGCCTTCTTCCCCTTTCCTCTCTTCTTCTCACCCCCCTTGGCTATGGCTTCCTTCTTCCTCGTCTCTCCCTCCTTCCTCTGACTTTGTCTTCTTCAGTCCGAGCTTGGCGGCTATGGCCGCCGCTTTCTTCTTCGCTGCACAACCAATCTCTCTCTCTCTCTCTCTCTCTCTCTCTCTCTCTCTCTCTCTCTCTCTCTCTCTCTCTCTCTCTCTCTCTCTCTCTCTCTCTCTCCCTCCCTCCCTCCCTCCCTCCCCTTCGTCGTCGTCTCTTATTTCCACGTGCCCCCAACGATCTTATTCTTCGCAAGGGCAATCTCCCTGCTCAGCCCGGCGACCTCCTCTTTCAGCATGGCGGCTATGGCCGCCCTCCTTCGATGATCACTGCAATGGTGATCTTCGGCTGGTGCTTTAGCGCGCGAAGGGAACTACGCGCGCAACTCCTCCACAAGCGTGCAACGTGGTAGCGGGCGCTCAATGGACGACTAGCGCGCAGCGGCGCGCACAATAAGGAGCGGGAGCGCACATGAGGGCAACTTAGTGCGTGGCCATGGGCAGCAACATGTAACGTGGCAAGCGGGCGATGTGATGCGCACGGGAAACTAGCGCACGATCTGGCAGCGGGCGAGCGCGCGGCAAGTAGTGAGGCGCGCGCGGGGACGGGCAGCGCGTGGTGTTTACGTGGCGCCTTGGCGGGCGCCTCCCTTCCTCCTCTCTGTAGCTGTAATGGCGCTGATGTGCACTTTCCTCCTCTGTTTGGCTACGGTAATGGCGGCCTCCTTCCTCACGACGACGACGACGAGACTAGCGACCACGATGATGACGTGGACAGCGATCGTGGCGCGACGGGGCAGTGGGAACGAGCTCCGATACCAGTGCAATCAGACCCGGCTTCTTCAACACTTGGCATGCATGCAAACAGATGGCGATCACACTGGCGCAATGGCGCTCATACAAGCTCAGAGATAAACGTAGCCAGGAACACAGTTCAAATTGAAACTTGGCTCGATCGGCTATGGCGCCCAGCGCCAGACAAAAATTCCCACTCGATCAACTGTATTCCCAAGCAACTTGTTCGCACACATAGACACTCTGGATCTCCCTGGATGTCCCGGACACACTCACACAACACACTGTCACACACAGAGACTAACCTCCTATCGGGCAGCTATGGCTGCTGTCTACCTCATAACTACTAACAAGCGGTTATAACCGCGTCTTCCTCCTCTTAGCCATCTTCCTCTTCGGGCACCTGCAGACCCTCGTACACAAGACGCGCCAACAGCGCTTCTGCACGGCTAATAGGCAGAACGAAAGAATGGCTTGATGCTGCCTCTTTATTTATACTTCGGATCATCGTTGGTCTTCCCTTGGACTCCGGGCCCGGGGTATGCACACTCCCACATGGTACTTGCTGACTTGACAAAGTGCGACCTGGGAATGGGAACCGCTGACTAGGATAGGTAGGACTGGGACTGCCCCTTGCTGACTGTGTTAGGACTGCCCCTCGCTGACTCAGACGCGGACTGACTCCTACGATCTACAAGAGCCAGTTCGAGATCTTCCGGAAGGTCGTGGACTTGACCTTTCGGAACTGTAGCAGCTATGACCTCTACAGGCCCTACAACCACTAAAACTGAGACCTACGGTTCAAACCCCGACGACCGGTTTATACACACTACTGCACATATGACTTTCAGAACGCAGGTCGTGCAGTCAAACACAAGCGGGGAAACGGGTACTGCACCTGGGTGCAGGGGATGTCTAGGGATCGAACCCTGGGTACTGCATCTAGTACTGTAAAGTTGAAAACCGTTTCACTTGTCCTTCTTTCGGAGTAAAACCCAACTCTTGGCTAACAAGCAAAAGAGTTAGGACTCAGGTCTCACTGGCCGTGGTGATAAGAGCACCACCAGCTAGTGCATACCCTCTGATGGCTCCGGTCTATTTGTGGGAAGCTGCGCATCCTGGAAAACAGCTCCAGCGTCCCATATAAAACAGAAATATCAACCCCGTATGCTCAGCTCCCGGCCTCTTCACCCTCTGAGGGCGTCAGAACATCTTGAAGTTCTAGCCTCTCTTCAGACCAACGTCTACAGTTCTTTGCTATTTATGTAGCTTGTAGTCTGTGTTCCATGTTGATCCTAAGCCTGGGCAAGCCTATGACCTACCAGGCTGTTCAGGAGTACCAGCTTGTATCGCTTTATGGTGCTACTTTGAGAGGGGGGCTCATCGGGGTGTCAATATGGATGCTACTCTTGCTGAGTTTTCTGGAGAGTGGTTGACCAGCTTGAGGTCATTCAGGTGGTTTGAATTAGAGCAATCTTGTCTATTTAATAACTTTGCGCCAGGCTGTGTGGCTTGTGAGGTCTGATAGTCTGAGCATATACTTGTGGTTAATTACAAGTTAAGAATCTGCATGGCCCTTGTAGACGTGTTTTTGTGGTGCATTGTGGAGATGAACGTGTTTTAGGTAATCTCTTTTTTCCCCTCAAATCTAAAGGAGGTAGCTCTAAATTATTTTAGTGATCTGACTACGTCTGGATTTGAGCGCATGATCTGCTGACTAACATGTACATGTCTTACATGTTTGTCGTTAGCAGAGTATTGATATTTAGGTGACACCTGTTCTTTCTTATCGTCTGCGGTTTCTCATTGCTTTTTTTCTGTGGATGTCCTACTTCTCTGTCATGTATTATCCTCATTAACTACCTTGGATGCATGTTGTGAACCACTCACACCACACATGTTTTTGTGATTTGTGTTATGGCTACTTCTGAGCTCAGGACAGCTAAAGACATGGAGAAGATCCAGCCTCTCTTGATGAAATGCATGACTATGCTGGAGAGGAATCAGTTCAGCGAGGAAGAGGTTGCAATCAGTCTAAGCTTGAAAGGCCGAGTGAGTTCAGCGGAGGGTCACACTGGTCCTGAAGAAGCCGGCACCAGCGGGAGCCATGCACAGGCTGAAGAAGATTCGATCAGACCAAAAACCACCTTCAAGCGAGTTCAAGTATGGAATGGGATTTACAAAATGTACTTACACTTGCCGTTGCTCTTCCCTATAAGTGAGCTCATGAATTCTTTTATTGGAAACAAAGAATCTCGGGTGAAACTGTCGTTCGGGACATCTGTTAAAATTGGAACGATACCGAGAAGAGTAGCATGGCCCCTGCGCAAGGATGACACACGTAAATCGA